ACCAGACGACGAAGAACTATGATCAAGATCAGCATACTCGGTACCCTCTGGAGGTGGTGGTGGGTTATGAGATGCTGCCGATTTTTGAATGGCAGAATATAAAACATGATTATCAGCTTCAGGTGAAATTGCTTTTGCTGGTTTTGGAGGAGCTTGTATCGTAGAGGAAGATGATTTAGCAGAGTAGTCTACTTGAGCATAGTTATAAGCCTTGAGAAGAGAGAGAGGGAGAGAGATCAATAAATAATATAAAAGCAAGCATTCATACAGACACAAACACCTGCCAAACCAGCTGCACAGTCATTAATATAGTAACATTATTGTTCAAAATAATGACAAGTAACATCATCACATGCACACACACACACATTCATTATGAGGACAATATTATATTATTTGTACATGTATATATACATGTAATTGCAGATAATGATACCTGACAAACTACAAACTTCCCATTAAGTTAAAGACAACACAAACATAAAATACACTATAAAAAGGTTAAGACAACACCTAACAAAAACAAATTTTAAATGCATGTACATGTACAACTAATGGCTTATTTTAACTCTTGAGGAAAATAACATTAAAAATACATTGTCACATTATAAAGGTAAACCTTTTAAAATATAATGACTGTGTGTAACAAATTACAATAATATTAAGCTCTATGGATAATAAAAACGGTGTTTAGCTAGGCAGCTGCTTGTGTGTGTGTGTGTAAATTTACTTCAATCATTTGAGGAGGAACAGAAGATTTTGTGTCTTCATTTTTTTTCTTAACATAACATACAATAGCAATCACTAATATAACCGAAACTGCCAGTGCCAGTCCAATGGTGACAATTACTATACCAGCAATAGCACCAGCACTAACTATTAATAATCAATAATTAATATTGAGCACAGTTACATGTACATACGTCGTGATGGTTCTTGAGTAGGAGTGTTTGATGGAGACATACTGCTTGATGAAGTCATACTGCTTGATGGAGTCATACTGCTCAATGGAGCCATTGTGCTTGATGAAGTCATACTAGGAGTTGAGCTAATAATGCCTGAATTAGAGGGAGACATAGATGTACTAGTTGAAGATATTTCAGGTGGTGGTGGTGAAGCAAGTACAATAGCTAAAGTACATATTATAATTGTAATCATTTATATTTACTAACTTATTGTAGCTAATGTAACAGTACCAGTTCCTAATACATTAACAGCCTCCACTGAAACAGTATACACTAAACCAACTGAAAAACCAGACAGAGTTTGTGAAGTAACATTAGTTGGTATAATCTGAAGTCCATTAGAAATGTTATACTTAACATTATATTGAGTTATAGGAGGACGAGATGATGATTGTGGCTATAAATAGTAATAAAATTGATATTGATTAATATAATTATGATTTATTTACTTCATTCCATGATACAATAATGTTAACAGTTTCATTAGTATCAGTTGGATAATCAGTTTGTGTTAACATCAGATTAGTAACAGATAAAGGAGCTAATAAATTACGTTAATGTTATTATCACTATTATGGCTCAATATCACTTACCATTAGGTATAAATCTTATCACTGCAGAGCTCATATATCTACCTCCAGTATCAACAGCTCCTATACTAACAGAATATTCTGTATCATTAAATGATTTAGATATAGGTATAACCAGACTAGTATCATTAGTCACGTATGTAACATTACTAACTGAACTAGTAATGCTAACAGTATAATTGGTGAAACATTGACCAGTTGATGGTGACCAAGAGAAGGTAAAATGAGTAGAACCAAAAGTGAGGGGATTAGCAACAGGAGCAGGTAGAATATCTAAATATTTATATTATAATAATGAAGTATCACTCAATCTGTACCTGGTATCACTATAGAACAGTTAACTAGTGTGATAAAATCCGGTCCACATTCAATAAGGTAATTATTGATGTTTATCACAGCAGTGAATGTTATAGTAGAAACAATTACACCAGTTGTATTAATCAGCACAGTAGTGAATTCATTACCAATAGGATCTATCCTACTTATACTATTTCCATCTATATACGCCACTGTTAAAGCATACTGACGACCATTAGTATCAAGTACTCTCCACCTTAGAAGAAATGGTGATCCACTTTCACACTTATAAGTCACTGTTTGTGATAGACACACGGAATCTAGGCAAGGATTAAGGAACCTAGGTTCACCTGGAGTTTATAGGTAAAATTTGAAAATAATTCAGATACAGATATTTACCTCTGACAAGATTTAAGATGTAAGAAAAGAAGAGAATAAGAACTAGCTTCATGTTGTCAAAATCTCGTCACACAAATTAAATCTAGACTAATGCCTAATGGTCAAATGGGAGGGGTGATGTGGGGACCTTGAGAAAAATCATGAATAAAGGCTTTCTCTCGGGCTTTCTATATCTTTTTTGTATCTTCAATATTTTCAGAGGTAATTAATAGATAAAATTTTCTCAGTTATTTTCAAATTTTACCTATAAACTCCAGGTGAACCTAGGTTCCTTAATCCTTGCCTAGATTCCGTGTGTCTATCACAAACAGTGACTTATAAGTGTGAAAGTGGATCACCATTTCTTCTAAGGTGGAGAGTACTTGATACTAATGGTCGTCAGTATGCTTTAACAGTGGCGTATATAGATGGAAATAGTATAAGTAGGATAGATCCTATTGGTAATGAATTCACTACTGTGCTGATTAATACAACTGGTGTAATTGTTTCTACTATAACATTCACTGCTGTGATAAACATCAATAATTACCTTATTGAATGTGGACCGGATTTTATCACACTAGTTAACTGTTCTATAGTGATACCAGGTACAGATTGAGTGATACTTCATTATTATAATATAAATATTTAGATATTCTACCTGCTCCTGTTGCTAACCCTCTCACTTTTGGTTCTACTCATTTTACCTTCTCTTGGTCACCATCAACTGGTCAATGTTTCACCAATTATGCTGTTAGCATTACTAGTTCAGTTAGTAATGTTACATACGTGACTAATGATACTAGTCTGGTTATACCTATATCTAAATCATTTAACGATACAGAATATTCTGTTAGTATAGGAGCTGTTGATACTGGAGGTAGATATAATAGCTCTGAAGTAATAAGATTTACACCTAATGGTAAGTGATATTGAGCAATGATAGTGATAGTAAAATTAACATAATCTATTAGTTCCTTTATTTGTTACTAATCTGATGTTAACACAAACTGATTATCCTACTGATACTAATGAAACTGTTAACATCACTGTATCATGGAATGAAGTAAATATATTAAGATAGTTATTTTTAATTAACATAATTTTTATTATTTTTTATAGCCACAGTCATCATCTCGTCCTCCTGCAACTCATTATAAAATTCAGTATAACATTTCTAATGAAATTCAGAATAAATCAACTAATGTTACTTCACAAACTCTGTCTGGTTTTTCAGTTGGTTTAGTGTATACTGTTTCAGTGGAGGCTGTTAATGTATTAGGAACTGGTACTGTTACATCAGCTACAATAAGTTAGTCATTGTTTTATTGTAAGTATAAACAATTACAATCATAATGTGTACTTTAGCTATAATAATTGCTACACTGCTACCCCCTGAAACTAGTGCATCTGTTTCTTCCCTTACTTCATACATTATTAGTTCAACTCCAAGTACTACTCAAACTACTCCGAGTGTTTCTGTTACTGAAGGTAACAATAGTCCTATAGTCATTCCTATACATTGCTATACATTAGGTTGTAATTGTGCCTCCAGTACTACTGTACCTATTGTAGTTAGTGTATCAGTGACATTTATACTGACAGCTATACTGTCTTCAACACTGTCAATAATACTGACACTGCTGTGTGTTAGGAGCAGATCTAATAAACCAGTTGAACAGGTTAAACCAGTTGAACAGGTTAAACGAGATGAGGGAGGAACAACAGCATCAGTTGCTGTGTATGATGAGATCACTACTACTAAAGGAGGAGCCACCAGTTCTGTTCCACTAACAAGTAATCCAGCTTATGGACCATTGAGAAATTAATGTACTCATTTCAAGTTGTTTTTATATTTAGCATGGTGTGATTATAGTCACTTAAAATTCAATTATTTTATTTTTTAATTGTTTTACATTGTTCAAATTTTGCATTGTTTTTAGTTTAGACCTTTTTTACGATTTAAAATTTAATTTGTTTCTCAATGTGTACTTGTTGCAATTAGTTGTTCCTCATCTTCATGTTGTGTATCAGTGTTACTGTATAAATAAAAGAGAAAGTAGATAAACACAAAACAATTAGCAAAGTGCACTTATCATTGCACATTCATGTGTGTATATACATTTATTGATCAAACAAGAGTGTGTGTGTGTATGTTTAACAAGAGTACACATAAAAAAGAGAGTGTCTGGCAACTGTATACAAGCCAACTATGTGTATGTGTGGGTTATGTCCGGCTATTATGATGTTAATACCATAATATGAAATGCATACAATACATTCACTTCTTTATTCAATGAATCCATGAATGAGTCCTATTGTTTTTTGTTTGGTTTATAGCAGTACTACTACTATTATTATTATTATTATTATTGTTGTTGTTGTTATTTATATTATTGTGACTGCAATTGCAGTGCAAACTTACTTAGATACTTGGGGTAAACATAACTATAATCATTGTCAAGATTTGATTTGTGCATTTGATGTCTTACATTTTGGGAGGTTCTTCTTTCTTTGCTTTTTTACTCTCAGCCACACAATAGCAGCAATAAATGACAGAGAGAGAAGAGAGTAGCCCACCGAGGTATCCAAGAACCAGCAAACCAACATTGAAAGGATTGACAGCTGTCTCTATCAAATAATGAATCATTATAACATTATGTAAGTCATATTGACTAATGCCATAAATATACAAAAAAGCTTGAGCTGATTCCAATAAAAATTGGTTGCTCCAAAATTGGCCAAAAACCAAAGGCTATAGCCTTGGGTCCTTGGCTAAATTTTATCAAAAACGGCTAAGAGAAAATTTTTCTCTTTTATAATTTCATCTGATACATAAACATGTTTTTAAATTATTTATCAAGTTTGAACTGATTCAAATCAAAATTGGATTTTTTACAAAATTTTTGAAGTTGCTCAAGAATTGGGTCAAAGTCCCTGTACTATAGTACAGGATCATTGACCAAATTTTACCAAAAATGACTAGGAGAGAATTCTCCATTTTTATAATTTTTTCTGATGCATATACATGTTTTTATGCTGTATTTTAAGTTTGAGCTGATTCCGATCACAATTGAATTTTTTATGAATTTTTAAAGTTACTCAAAAATCAGGCCAAAAACCATGGGCTATAGTACAGGAGTTTTGGCCAAATTTCGCTAAAAATGACTAGAAAAGAATTTTCCATTTTTATAATTTTTTCTGATACATAGACATGTTTTTATGTTATTTTTCAAGTTTGAGCTGATTCTGATCAAAATTGGATTTTAAATGAATTTTTAAAGTTGATCAAAAATTCAGCCAAAAGGCTACAGCCTTGAATCATTGTTCAAATTTCATCAAAAATGGCTAGAAGAAAATTTTCTATTTTTATAATTTTTTCTAATAGATATACATATTTTAATGTTATTTATCAATTTAGAGCTGATTTCGATCAAATTTAATTTTTTTGAATTTTTAAAGCTGCTCAAAAATTTAACCAAAGCTGTTATAGTGCATACAATACGTAAAAGTTGCTAAAAGGGAATTTGTAAAATAATTAACTGACTAGTATGTCCCTTTTGAGTACATGTTGGTGACACTGTAACTATATAAATAAAAAAGAGCAATAATATTAATCATTGTAAAACTAAGCTTACCAAAATTTGACGTTTCCATTGAATATATCTCTGCAGCAAAAATAAAATAAATTAATAAAATCAATTACTTCCTAACCAAAAGCAGTAGTAGTGAATGGTCCAAGTCCAATAGAATTACTGGCAGCCACTTGTACAGTGTATGTTAAACCAGGAGTGGCTCCATTGATGACAAAATCAGTAATAGGAGAAGGTAGGCTAATAGTAATGTCAGTATCATCAGTACTAATGTTAGTGATCAATGTATGACCAGTAATTGTAGGATTGCAATGAAGAGTAAACTGTAATTAAAATAACATAATTGAGCTAATAATTATACTTTTTATTTATTTTTGCTTACATTAAA